AAAGTCTTCATAACAGCTCTAATACAAACAAAACAACTTTAAATTTATACTTATGTCATTTTCTGTTCTTTCACCAGGTTCTTTTTCTAAGCAATCACGGACAATATCACGAACAGCAGCAGACTTTTATATATAAAAATATTTTCTTTATAATTGTAATTTTGAGTCACCATTAGCAAAATAAAAAAATCTAACTAATTCTTAATAACACATAAAAAAATATTTTACAACCTCATTTGGTAAAATTTCATCATCTGAATCCATATTAACATCTAAAAAAATTATATTCATCTTATTTTTTTTTGTATTTGCTTTTTGAATAGCTAAAAATACCAGAGTTTTAAAATAATAAGTATATTAATAATATTAAACATTATATATATATATATATATATATATATATATATATATATATATATATATATATATATATATATATATATATATATATATATATATATATATATATATATATATACACACACAGCTTAGTAACTAAGGCACCTTCAACTATATAAAAATAAAAAATAAAATATATATATAAAATCTTTGTCAAGTGATTTTCTACTAATTATATATATTTGTATATATATATATATATATATATATATATATATATATATACAAATGCGGTAGTGGTGTATGCGGTAGTGGTGTAGTGGTAGAGCGCTCGCTTCATAAACGAGTGGTTCCAAGTTCGATCCCCACCACGTCCCTGGTAGTACCGCTCTTAACTCGTTTCTCCGGGCAGCGGCCTTGCTCGTCAAAGTTCGTGTTTCGGAGTTATAGAGTTGAGAGAGGGTTATAACCACAAATAAGTAGCCTCCTCGTCTGTAGTCTTCTCGGCCTTGAGGAGGTGAATTAAAATAATATATATATATATATATATATATATATATATATATATATATATATATATATATATATATATATATATATATATACATATACATATACATATATATATATATATATATACATATACATATATATATATATATATATATATATATATATATATATATATATATATATATATATATATATACATATATATATATATATATATATATATATATATATATATATATATATATATATATATATATATATATATATATTTCTATAGGCATGACAGATATTAAATATTACTGATGACAGGTAGTACACTTTTTCTAGCCTTTAAAATGTTAACTTTTTCATTAAAATACCATTAAAATAAATCTTAACTACTTTATTAAAATACAGCCTAAAAATTCCCAAGACTTATATAAATACCAAACAAATTTTTTTTAGTATAACAGCGTAGCGTAACATAAATCTTCATAATGCTCTATATTCAATGCTTTACCACAAGGCCTGCTGACAGTCACAAAATTTTTATACCAAATGATATCTTAATATTTCCCTTTTAAAAACAACTCAGTCAATGTATTTGTACGGTATAAAGAGGAAAATGAACCTTTTATTCTGATTTTTTTAAATTTAGTCTGCTTAAGTTCAATAAAATGTTAATTTATACAGGGGTGCATCAATTGTTGAGGGGTGTACCAACAGTTGAGAAGTGTACCAACAGCTGTTAGTAAACCCCTCCACACAATTGTTTATACAGGAGTTAATAACTTTTACAGGGGTGTAACAAAAGCTGAGATAATTGTTTATACATGGATTAATAATTTTTACAGGGGTGTACCAACAGTTAAGACAATTGCTTGGATTAGGTAATCACGAACACACATAAAAAAAATTACAAAGAATACAATAATATACACCAAAATTTTTTTTCTGTTAACTATACTGTACTTTTATACCGTTACTTTCTTTTATTCCAGACAAGTCAAAATCAGAATCATCAAGATTTTCAACACTAGAAGATATCCATTGATTAGCTGGTTTGTTTGTAGAAGTTTGATGCTCTGATTTGTTAAATACTTCTTTTAACTGCTGCATATCTGCTGACGATCCCTAAAATCATCACAAATTGAAATCAATAAAAAAGTTCAATCTTATAACTTTTAAATAAATAACTAATAGTTTATAAACAAGCAAAACTTACACGATCATCTCTGTAATACTCCATAGTGGGGTCAAATGACATTGGACGACTTCTTCGGTTCAGTGTTTGATCTTCTATATGGTAATCAATCTATGAAAATATCTTCTTTTTTTTTATTTTCCACATTTTGTTTATAAGTATAGTATCTTTTTAAACAATTTCAAAAATATATTTAAAAAAATAATAATAATTCTTACAACAATCATTTCTGATTGTTCCAATATGAAACAATCAGCGTCTCTTCTGCCACTTTTCGTTTTTTGTCCAAAGCTGTATTGTAAAACATGTATGTTTTTTTTTGTTAAAAAATCAAATTACAATATCTTTATGTAAATTAAAAAGCTTAAACACTTTATTGGTGTGTAAATAAAAGTTACCTTTCTCCAGGTAGATACATTTTATCAATTCTTTCTATAAACACTGATCCAGATAATAATATATACCAACAATGGGCAACATCACCCTCACTAAATGATTTCACTTAATGATATTATATATATATATATATATATATATATATATATATATATATATATATATATATATATATATATATATATATATATAATATCATTAAGTATATATATACAGTATTGGACAAAACATTTGCAACCAACATCGAACAATGCTAAAAAGTGTTCCATGACATGAGCAATCAGCTGACAGGTGACAGCACACAGGCAGAATTTTGTTGACAAGTGCCATTTTGCAGCGGACAAAACAAGTGCAACTTTTTTGGTTTGTTTCATTTTCTTAAGTCTGGTCCGTGTCAACGTCACAGAAGTTTTTTAATAATTAAAGGAAGTTTTCAGAAGCATGCAGAAGCTTCCAGACGCATCCAGAAGCTTCCAGAAGCATCGAAAAGAAGCATCTAGAATCTTCCAGAACAGGTTCACACAGGTTCATTTTACTATATAAGAGACATGTAAACTAACATGTAATTCAGTCAGTATATGGAAGTCAATCAGTCAGTATTATCAAGACAGTTTATCGAAGTGAGTTTTATCAAAGTGTTTTATCGGAGAACATCGATACAAGAAGTGAAAAACAACAAGTGTTTCATTACATCAATACAGTCCACATCCAACCAAGACGTTGTGTTCCACAGAGCTTTATTGTATCATCACAAGGTAAATGTAACACGATAAGCCTTGAGAAGTGTGATTATTTATTTTTATTATTTTTATGACTTCGAGTGCAAAAATGGCTCCTGACAGTCTTGGATCGGAACTAAGAAAGAAAATTATTGGCGATTACGTAAGTGGAATGTCACAAAAAAGTATTTGTGATAAATATCGCGTGAAAAAATGGACTGTATTAAGACTATGTTCCAAATATCGTTCTACAGGGAAGTTGGCAGCAGATAACAAAGGTGGAAGACCGCATTACACCACTTCTAGAGAGGATTCTATGATTGTCAGATCCGTCAAGAAGGATCCCTGGATATCATCAGTCGAGATACAAAAGCAACTAGAGCTGCCTGTATTGGACCGAACAATTAGACAATGTGCTGATGAAGCCAAATTTTTTTCTCGACACACTGCAAAGAAACTGCTGATTTCACTAAAGAACCAGAAGAAAAGACTCCTGTTTTCTTCTTCCTGACTGGAATGTGCAGAAATGGCAAACTGTGCTGTTCAGTGATGAATCGAAGTTCAACATCATTAGGAGCGATGGCATTTGCCGTGTACGTCGACCGGCCAGAAAATGCCTCGATTTACGTTACTGCCATAAGACTATGAAGCATGGTGGAGGCAATGTAATGGTCTGGGGGTGTTTTTCTGCTAACGGTCTAGGTCCAATACATCGAATCGATGGAATAATGGACTGTTTCATGTATAAAAATATCCTGAAAGATGTTATGTTACCTCATGCTGAATGGAATATGCTAATAAAATGAGTTTTTTAGCAAGACAACGATTCGAAACACACTGCAAAAGTAGTCAAGCAGTGGTTTCAAGACAACCACCTATCGGTGATGGATTGGCCGCCTCAATCTCCGGATCTCAACCCTATTGAGAACCTGTAGGAGATCGTCAATCATAGAATTAATCATGAAGGTGTTCGTAATAAGGATCAACTGTTTGAACAAATCCAAAAGGCCTGGGCAGCGATTCCACAAAGTTTCATTGATCACCTGATCGAATCTATGCCTCGAAGATGCAAGGCTGTGATCGACAACAAAGGATTCGCCACGAAAGATTGATAGCAAAATACAGCTTGGTCAACACTTTGTGGAGTTGCACTTGTTTTGTCCAGAAGGAAATCAACTTTTTTTAATACTTTTGATTAACTTATTAATTTTCGTGTACAAATAATGAACTTTGCAATGAATAAAACTTGAAGAATGTTGTCTCTAAACAGTTACATAGTTATTTCTCTAAATTGAAAAAATACAGCACTTTTATATAAAGAAACTAAATTAGCATTATTTGGTTGCATTTGTTTTGTCCCATACTGTATATAAATGTACTTAAAAAATATATATATATTGACTAAAAAGTTATTTCTTTCATTGCAGGTATTTGTTATATTAAATAGTTCCCCTGTTCTCTAAGGATAGTGGAAACCTGTCAATTACTCAAAAAAACCTGTCAATTACTCAAAATTAATGAGTTTAAAACACTGAAAACTTTCAACAGCATTAATTTGTCAACAATAGTGTAAAAATAAGCGACATCCTTACCAGTATAACTGTTCATTAGATTCATGAACTTCATACCGAGAATGAAGTGCCATTAAGCGTATTACAGATTCAGGAAGTTGCGACACCACTTGAATTTCACGCAATTGTGTGTAAATCATATCGATGTGCTAAAAAATATTTATATAAAAATGATTAAATGTTTCTAAATGACTAGTAATCTAGTCCATGCAAAATTTTAAATAAATGCAGACTAGATAATTGTTGCTTTTTTGTATTTGAATAGAATTTTTGTATTTGAAGCATTTCATTCACTAGAACTTATTTAGAGAAAAAGGTATATCTTTATTTGTCAAGTATATTTTATATACTTTTTTTGTCACCATGGTAGGTTTTTATTGTAGTCTTGTTTCATAATATTTTGTGTTAATGATCAATCAAGTAAAATAAAAGCAAAATAACCAACAACAAAAATTTTTGCACATTTACATTAAATCACAAAATATATATAATAATTTATTGTGCAAAATATTATTTATTAATAAAAAGTAAAAAAATAAATATCTAACAAATATATAACAAAAAATAAACCAAAGCTTAAAAATTTATAACATTGATAAAAACAAAATTACTATTTAAAAATTATTTTTAAACAAATTTGAGCAATTGATGTACTATTAATATTTGTAAAAGTTCTTTCAGTTGATGCAATAACATTTTAGATATATCTAAACACTTTTATAAAAAACACCTGCCAAAAACTAATTAATCCACCAAAAACACTAATAAATATTAAAAAAACTAAATTCATTTTAGAAGTCTGATAAAAAACTAATTCTGATTCACTCCCAACAAGGCCGCATGCGACCACTATTAAGTTGGAGTTACTAGAAAACAAAGAATAGAGTTAAAGAGCAACAAAATGGTTAACAGAAGACTTAAAAAAGTTGGAGGTAACTTATGATAATGGAAGAGAGGCTCAAGTTTGGTAGATATCTAGAAGAGAAAGAAAATTATTAGAAGAACTAGTATAAATATGACAACAGGATTGAAAAAGAGATTTGTAGAGGTTGGAAAATGGAATCAGGAGTAAGTTAATGGCAAGCATATTAAAGAAAAGCAACCTAGCAATCGATTGTATATATGGATTCCATAAGAGATCAGTAGTGATAATCCAAAAAGACATAAAGAAGAGAACTCAGTGAGAGGGTATTGCAATAGTTATTTGCAGTAAATAATTGAGTTTTGTTATAGTTAAAATGCAAGCCCTAATCTGTTACAGAAGTTAGATCAGATTCAAGATTGGCTGTCTGTTCAAAGTTTGATCACTTTGAACAGACAGCCAACTTAAAGACTTTTTGTCAAGACAGAAGTATTAAGTTGATTCGTCAACAAATACTTTAGATGTAAGGTGGATAGAACCATGGATAGAACCTTGAGGTACCCCAGAAGTTACAGAATTACAGAAGAGTATTGGCCTTCGAAGTTGGATTTAATAAAGTGGTTAGAAAGAAATGATTAATATCAAAAAAATTACCAGACAGTAACTTTTTGACTCAAGAAGGGATGTTAGAAGTTTGTTGATCAAAGACTCAAAGACCTTGCCAATAACAGGTAGAAGACTGATCAGATGATAGTTAAAAGCCAGAATGATCTTCAGAGTTTTTAAAAATTGGAACCGCAGATGCCGTTTTCCAGCAGGTAGGAAAAAAAAGATTCAGTCAACCACTTAATAAATAGCTTAGAAAAAATCAAAGAGAGTTCTGGAGAACACTTCTGTAAGACTATGACAGGAATTTTGTCTGGACCACAAGCTGCAGTAGAGTTTAATTGGTGTATGACTTAGCAATGGAAGCTAGAGTGATGTCTAATAAAGAGTCAACTTGTTTAATTGGAAATTAAAAAAACATCTCTATTAAGCTAATTATTTTATCAAAATATTTAGTAACAGAAAGCAAAATTTTTTATAGTTAACAAAACATTTTTCTTGTATACAAAGTTTTTAAACGAAACATTGAAAAAAAAAAAAAAAAATTATATAATTTTATTTTGATAAAAAAAATACATAATTTAATTTTGATTTAAAAAATATATAATTTAATTCTAATTAGGGATTGTCCGTAAATTACAGAACACTAAATAAATAAAACAAAAAAGATCAAAAGTTTTTTTGCAGAGCTTTAAGCATAGATCATCCAGGTTTCCCTCGCAGAGCTTTAAATTGAATAAAAAATCAAAATAGTTCATTAGATTTAATGAAAATCGCAGCGTAAATGAGATTAAGATCTCCACCTTTTTTTTTTTAAATAATTTAACATTATGTTAAATTATTTAAAAACGGATGATCTCTTTAAAATATATATTCAAGTTTATCAAAATTAAAGTTAATGCATGGGTTTAATTTAACTGTCAAATTTATTTAAAAATATCACTAAATATTGTTAATATTTAAATTTTATTTATTCTTAAAAAAAAATTAGCTAATTTTTATCTCAATTGTTCTTTCAGTTTTCCTTCCTAAACATTTTTTACTCAAAATTCCTTGTAAATGTGTACCGAGTTAAACTTTTATTTATAACACAAGTTAAAGTGTAGTGATTATTTTTTAATAAATGATATATACAGCGGTATAATTTAAATAAATGGTGTTTGAAAAAAAATACTTCTCTTTCACACAAAATCACTAATAAAATGATAACTTTCAAGGCTTCCCAGGAAATGCATGCCGTTTTTCGGCTTGTATGACCAAACGGTCGTGACCAACTTGGTCATGACCATTTGCAAGTTTTATAATAATCATTACGCAAAATGTTTCTAAAACAAAAAAACCAAAACTAACATAATAGGAAATATAAAGAAATTTAAATAGAAAAAAATAAAAAGGAATGAATAATTTAAATGATTTGTGTACTTTTTTTTTTTTTTCTTTAGAGTGGTTGTTACATTCAGCAACAAAATTAGATAAGAAGAAGCAAAAAAAAAAAAAAAAAAAAAAAAAAAAACAAACAAACAAAAAAAAAAAACAGTAATAAGTCTACAGTAAAAAGAATGATTGTCCAAAAAAGTTATAAAAAATAAAACAATAAACTTGCAACTACAAAAGTAACAACACTCTAGTCACTAACTTCATTATAAAAGTAATAACACTATAATAGTGTTATTACTTTTATAACCCACTTATAATTTTTATAATTCATTTTTTGTTCGAACAACATAAGTAATCCCAAATTTTTATTGAAGTAGAAAAGTATCTAGAAAAATAGAATGGATATTCAAATAATGTTTATAACTTAAGCAACTTAAAGAACTTTATAAAAATGTACTGTATAAATAATTTAGTATTATGAAAAACGTTACAATGGTCGTAAAAACATGCGTTAATTATAAAATCAACCAAAAAAAATTATTGGTTGATTTTTAAATTAACACGCGTTTTTACAGACTATAAGTAACATTTTTCATAACGTTCAATTTTTTTGTACGGTACGTTTTTACAAAGTCGTTTAAGTGATTTGTAAATGTTTCTGAAGTCTTAAATAATATTCGAATATCTGCTTTATTTTTTCTAGATGCTTTTCTACTCTAATTAATGTTTGGAATTACTAATGTTATTTGAACAAAGAATGAACTTTAAAAGTAATAAGTGCTTTATAAAAGTAATAACACTATTATAGTTTTATTACTTTTATAATGCAGTTAGTGACTAAAGTGTTATTATTTTTGTAGTCATAAGGTTATTGTTTTGTTTTGTTTTTTATAACTTTCTCACTAACAAACTTATAATAATTTGCTCCTTTAAAACAAAGTACACGGTTTTGCAAAAACTAAAATTTTAAAGACCAGATATTTTTCAAGAGTTTGCAAATCGCGATCGCTTAATTTAACCCTTGATAGACACTTGTTACATTAAAATTATACAAATATTTTACAAACAGATGACAATTTATATTTTTGCTTTCCTCTTTAAAAAAAAAAATATAGGAAAATCATTATCTTTAATGTTTAAAACTGTTTTATAAAAACAGTACACAAATTATTCAAATTATTGCTATTATTATTTTTTGCTATTGCTATTATTAGTGTTTCCTGGTAAGAATTGACTTTTAATAAATAATGTAAATAAATTACCGTAATTTTTTTATTTCTTACTCACTACTTTTTTAAAAATAAATAATCCTTTTTAGTTGCAAAGATGCAATTAGAAATTTAAAAAATATTTATTAAAAAAATTAAAAAAAAAAAAATTTTAAATAAATAATTTTATTAACTAATAAATTAATAACTATAATAATATTAATAATAATAATATAATAAAATAATAATTATAATAATATTAATGATAAATAATCAATCAACTAATTTAATTAACTAATTTAAATTAATCTTAAATCAATATTAAATTAATTTAAATCTAAAAAATGTTTAGTTCATTAATACAAATACCAAGAAAAGAAAGAAATTTATTCATGTCAAACATTTTTTGAAATGCAATATTAAATTAATTATCTAATATAAAAAAAAAAGAAAGAAAATAAATATTCTCTAATACAGGGATGAACCCACACCTGTTTTAGTACCGCTGGAGCGGTATGACGCAAAAAAAAAAAAGCGCCTAAAAAAAATTTTTTTTTTCTTCAATTTTTCTTTTGCCTTTTTATTTAAAATATAAAAAAAACAATTTCAGTTTTAAATGCAATAGTATATGAATAATTTTCAAATTATTTTAGCTACCTTATTTATTCTTCAGGTCAATAAAATGAATTAAAAAAAAATTGCTTCTTTACGTAATGACACAACTGTCTTTTGGTTACTAAGTGAATATTAGTTTAAAAAAAATGAATGTTGTTACTAAACTTAATTTTAAAAACTTGTTGCAAAATTTTACAATGGAATGTATAAAAAATTTGCTTTTTCGAAAGAACAATTTTAAAATATCCATTCAGAGTTAAGTTAACTTTTGTTTTAGGCAATTAAGAGTAAACTGTTTTTAATAATAAATGAACAAAAGTAAAAAATTTCAGTCTTGATAACCACGCAAATTTAATTTTTGAATGAACTTTTGATCCTTAGCTTGCTATTTTACTTTATGCAACAAAAACAAAAAAACAAAACAAATTTTTTCAGAAAGTTTTGTTTCTTTCCATATTCTTTTTGACTTTTAAAATAATAC